TACTTCGTGCGTGAATTTTGGGACATCCTTTAGTTGTACTAGTTAATAGTTAACTATAATATGTATACACATTATTATTCACATTTTTTATTTATTACGAACTTATTTCAGATAAGAAATAATTTCAATTATTGTTATGACCGATTTCGCAGCGTTCCTTTTTTTATTCAAAGACATTAGTGCGATTAGTTAATACATTTAAGCTATTGTACAACTACGTTTTACTTCGATTTGTCGCAACACAATCAGATTTGTATGACTGAACCACACACTCGATTAAATTGGATTTCAATTTCTGTGTGAAAGGTTATAGATTTCGTGACACAGTTTCAAAATATACAGAGCTACAATTGGGACAATACTGTTACAAAGTTAATAATTTTTTCAGTGTATAGTTTAATTGCAACGTCTTAGCAGTATTCTCAATCCATTTTTTTGGATTACTTGACCGATCATTGAGAATATTAATCTAAAAGACATTTGGTGACTCTCATTTTAATTCCACTTAAAAATTAGATAAAAGGTATATCTGCACTACGACTGAATAATGCGATTTTTTTAGAATTTAACCACACCTTTGCAAATTATCCTGCAATGATTTGTATTGTGATAATGGACTTTGGACTGAGCATGCCATATGTAATTTAATATTCAAAAATGTATAGTATGGCGTGATAATAATATTACTTATGCAATATACTTGTAGAATACATTAGACGGAAAAATGCAATAATTTAAGTTCTCATATAATACGAGTGACTAATAATAATTAAGGGGTAACGCTGCTGCAGAGGTTGGGAACTTTTGGATTAAATTGTTAATAACAATGAAAATTGTTAATCAGTCGAAAAAATCCTACGCTGTTCCCTGAATTATATTATTGTGAACCTTTTTCCTATATTCTTCACATAATAAAGTATTGTTTAAAACCATTTATCATAGATCGACTATTTCAAAATTTTAGAGTGGCTTTACTCCTTAATCACCATCCTTTAAATACTTCCTTGTATAAAAAAAAATTGTGATCTTCAATAAAGGCATTCCAAATTTTGAAAAAAAAAATTCACATTGAATACTTATCAAATGCCGAAAAAAATATTTGTTAATAAAATAAATAAGGCATACGAAGGAAAAAAATCGCAACAAAATAATTCAGTATAATTTTCTGAATATTTCGAAATTTCAATAAATTTTTTAAATTTCAACATTTGGACATTTGAAATATTCAATGTAAAATTGTAAAAAGAGAATGCAAAAGAATTTTGAAAAACTTGATTTTTTTGGAAATTGAATTTTTATTTAAAAATTTTGGAATATTTGATTTTTTTTTTCAAAATTTTGAATTTCTTTAATATTTCATAACTAAGGCGAAATTGTGAGAAAAATAACGCAACTTTTTTTTATATTCATTAATCATTGATATTTAAAGAGCAATAAAATGTGCTTTTTCCATTTTTTATGAAATTTTGACGATTCAGGAAAGGAAAACGGTCCTACCGATCGATTTCAAAATTTACAGGCCCCACGGCCATGTGTTGAACTAAAAAGGAATCCTCAAACATTGGTACTTTTCGTAATATCCACAAATCGTAGTCGTCGATTTTTCAAAACAGCAGAAAAAGTATTTTTTTGCATATCTTCAAATTAGTACTGAGTATAAGAATTTATTTTTCTCAAACATACCAAAAGGAATAGATAAAAACAAAATTGATAGAAATATAGTACAACAATTTGAATGAGTGAATTTTGTAGCTCAGTTAACGAAAATATAGGGGCATTTTATTCCATCTGTCTCTATCTATCTACGTTATCCGTAAATTCCCATCAGTCTTGAAAACAGCGATTCCCAACAAGTTTTTTATAAGAAAAAACGGCGATTCTCAACAAGTTTTTTATTAAAAAATATGAATATTTATTTTAAATTCAATTTTTGTTCCAAATTTTTCCGCAAAAAGACTATACTGTACCTACCACTGTTATACATTGAAAATTCACCTTATACACCCTGTACAGTGTAAACATCCCTGAAATTTGATGAATTACCTCAACGGTGGAGTACTAAAAAAAAAACAATTAAAATTTCATCACTATAAAGATTAACAGCGCCAGTGTCGAGGGAAAATGTAATTAATTTCATTTTTATGAGAGCTGGTGATGATGAAGCGAGAGGACGGCGTGATTGCAGCGGTTTAAGTTCTTTTGTGAGTGCCGTCGCCTAGGAAACAGAGTGCTTTTCGCGTGCAACAAGTAGACTGGGACCGGGTCGAGTGGGAATTAAATCAACCGCCTCTCCGTCTATTCAATATGTTCGTTTAAATGGGAAATCTGGAATAAATAAAGACTTTGGAACTGTACTGAATGAAATGCCCAACTCGGAAGCCACAAAGTGAGGCGGAGGGGCCGGTTTATCATTATAAGTAGATAGAAGCAGATCTCTCAATACTCTGCTTTCTGAGAACAGCAGCAGAAAACTGCAATCCATTTCTCTCTGGAGAATAGTAAATTTTTTCAAAGTAAAGGTACAAGATAAATAATTTAATGTAAACAAATATAGGATGAAAGCTTTTGAAGGCCCATAACCAGGACTGGCTTAAGCACAAATCCAAGGGTGTTGGTATGAGATTTTTTTGTTTTAATATAGTGTAACCATCGAAAATCCAGTGATGTAAAATGTTTTAATTATCTGAAAAATATACGAGGATACGTTACTAAAAACATTTAAAAATTTTCGCCATTGATTTTCCTGTATTAATTTTTTTTGTGAAACGAATGATTTTAGAGATAATTTAAATTTATTCTACTGTGTGATAAGCGTATCTGAATACATATTGTTTTTCTCTATTTGTTCTTAGATGTAAGAAACCGAAATAGATACACTTTTTTCGAGAGATTAAAAAAAAATTTTTTGAAACGTTCTATTCTTTTCCTTTGTGCTCGAAGTCTAAATGACAAGCGGAAGGCATCTCGTTTATCACGAAAGATTTACTCTGAAGAGGCAGAATCATTATCCCTTGAGTGCTGCTTGAATAAAAGAGCACGTTCGACCTAAAATATCCCTAGCCCAGAACTCTCCAGGGTAGAAAGTTCAACAATTTATTGGACAGAATAAAAATACTGGTAGTATACAAAAAGTCTTCTAAAAGCTTTCACTCACTTTCCTCTTTATAATTTACAGTAATTTGGAAAGATCTAAGTACTCTACATCAAAATACAATCGATCATTTTCAAATTAAAGCGCTTTCATGTTTTAAAATTCCCGCGATTAGTTGTCGTACTTGGCGGCGTAGTCACTTGAGGCGCCATTAGCGTAATTTCAGTTGGCGACAGAGAGAGGTAACCCCACAAAACATATGGTAACCCCATAAGCCATAAAGTATAAAGATAAGATAACCTACGATTTGGCAGCATTGCGGTATGAGCAAATTATTTAGAAAAGGGTTGTTGTTAACTAAAAATATTTGCGAAATAACTACTACGTTGTGACTGGCAATAAAATTATATATATTTAGCGAAAAGAACTTCAATCCAATCTAATTTAATCTCCAGTAAAACAGTAACAAAAAACATAACTTAATATCCAATTAGAATTTATTAAATAGAAAAATCATAAACATTAAAAAAGTAGAATTTGTTACATATTTATTAAAAAAATTAAATATATTCAGCAAAATAAAATTCACTTTAACTTAATTCATTCATTCTTATTCACATTAACCTAATCTAACCTAACTTCAATAAGTCGATACATAATTGAAGAGAAAAATTAAAAAAGTAAGCATTAATTACCAAACCTTAAAAACATTTAAGGCGAATGAAGTTGCCTATTATTGTTTTACCGACCCGATTTTTATAAACAATACAATAATTTGGAACCAATCATAACCCTCAAATATGACATTTTTTATTATTGCATTTTTTAACTTATACACTGTTCCTAACAGGAGACTAGATATCTCCATGGTTCCTAAGATGCACTTTTTTTTAAGAAGAACCTTGCATAAAGTACAATATTTCAGTCAACGACAAAACCAGGACAAAACAAAGATAAAGGTATCTATTATTTCTAGATTTGTGGACATCCTTCTTCGAATTGTTCTTCTCTCTCTTTTCACTCAGAAATCAAAGGCAGTTCCGTTTTGACAAAGATAAAAATATTACAGTGCTCTCCTTTTCCCCCTGATGCACCTATCTAATTTTTGGTGTTTTGAAACCACATAATGACAATCCCCTCCTCAGGCAAGCCGTTGACTACGTACCCGACGTGACCGACAAACACAAAAGACCTAGACACCAACTTTTTGACCCTGGGTGACCACCCCAACGATATCCCCCCCTGTCCGCTAACCTTTTCTGTTTCAGAGACCGCCAAGATCAAGAAACGAAGACAACGACACACACACATACATACACACCCCCCATACCCTCTTTACCTCTCCCTTCCCACGCTAGCCTAAGGGCCACCTTAGCAAAGCGCATCCCAGGCTGTATAGCCGCACCACCCTACCCAACCATAAACATGACACCACTCCCGGGATTTACACAGACGAGCCGGCGAAGCAAGAAGAGCGCCAGAAGAAAGGGCCCTAGCCGGCGGGGCCCAGCCAGGACAAAAGGAGGTCCCACAAAGCGCCTACACCGGCCGCATTTGCGGTCGGGGTAGACGACGCATGGGGCCCACCTACGAAGGCTGTCCAGGCCTACACGAGATGAGGCAGGATAAAGAGGGATAATCCCCCTCGATCCCAAATCATTGAGGCCAATTTCTAGCCATGGAATAATGGCGCGAAACCACAGAAAATATCTATTTGAAGTTGTGATATCGTAGTTGGCATCGCAAATCCTGTCTCATACTCTGTAAAATGAAAGCAGTCCAAACTCGTTGAAAGAGAGTGAATCCTACACTTTAAACTTTAGTTGTCAGTTTTCATATGTGAAACTTGTCAAAATGATAGTGTCAAAACACAGTATTCCATAAAAATTTCAGTTCAAAATCATCAATCATGGGGCAGCTGGTTCCCGTCTTCGCCGCTTACCTCCTGCTGTGTTTTGGGATCCAATATTTCAGACGGCCGCGGGAAGTGGGTCCTGGCCCCTTAGTGTCGTCCTACATCTTTATGTTTGCTGCATTCCTGTTACTCTGGGACATCAGACTCTATCCGAGTTCGTTGAGAAGGTTGGGTATCATAAGTCAGTGTATTATTGAGGTAGGTACAACGTTGATCTATTTCAAATATTTCAAAGGACTTTAAATTTTGATGAAAGGGACACCTGTTCTGTTACACTTATGTTAGTTTTAAGTTTAGGGTTTGGACTTTATTTGCAACAAATTCATGTGTGAGGAAACAGGGGTATATTTCTCGTACAGAGTTGATACTAAATTTAAATTTCTGTATTTATGTTTCTTTTTACCGCATTATCCAACATACTGACCGCGTCAGGTTTAAAAAACAGACCAGTCGAGGGCACGCGCATAACCATAATTAAAAATTTCCACGAGCAACCGTGGTTTTTAGGTAAAATACTCATACCAACCTAGTGAAATAAGAACTACACATTATCCACTGCGCCATCTACCAATCAACCATAAGTACTAATATCCATTAAACTAGAGGTTATAATAATTATAAGCAAGGTAAATAGTAAATGTTTTCAGGAACTAAAAGAACACACTTTTTTCAGTTTCTTGTAGCTTCTTTTTTATTCGAGAACATCATGGTAGATTTCTGGTTTCCCCTGGAGCTGGTAGTCTTAGGCGCTTCATGGGCACTAGCGGATCTTCTCGAGGAGATGCTGCAAAGCGGAAGCTGGACCTGCGATGTGGTTTGCGATGTACTAAGAACTGAAAAGTCCTCGTATGCCGCCAGTTATATGCTCAGTTTGTTCTTCCTACTAGCAGTTCTTCATGCGACAAGAGCCATTGATTTGAGGGAATTAGAGTAAGTCTATAAAATGATCCTTTTTATCTCATTTTATACAAAATAAATGTTTGTCTGTAGAAACGGCCCAGTAGCTTTCTTTGGAGACATAGGATACAGAACGAAAAGATATTTTAGAAGACAGAAGAAATATCTTGGAATTGGAATTAAAAAGAGGGTACATATAAGAGAAAATAAAGACAGAAATGCTATAACAGCACCATCAGGATGCCCATCAGAAATTAGTTCTACGGGTAAAAACCGTGGCAAAAACAATAACAAGAATAGCAGTGGCAATAAAAACAACAAAAGGAAAAGTCCATGCGACAATGAATTTAAAACATACCTTTAGCGATTTTGAATTGGCGCGTAAAGATAATTATTAAAATAGGAAAGGGAGCTGCAATATCCAGACGAGCAGTGCCATCTGACATATCTAAATCAAAATCGCACCGCCGATAAAACGTTTACCTGTACCTGTAGTTTTAATTCAAAATTTTGTGGAATGTCAGTGGTGTATTTTTTATTGGTTTATTAAAGATGTACAAGTACTTCAAAATTGTTTGTAATTCTGTGTCCCACAACCGATTCCTGCGAATAAGGCTAGGTGAGAGGCTTGCAGGAATAAAAGTCGTAAGAAGTGATCCAAATTTGAGGTTATGTAACAAAACCGATTTGAAATTATCACTTCCTTCTAATTTGGCTATTGCTTTAAGTATATTGACATGGCTAGGTTTTACTAAAGAAGATGAAGACAAAGAATCCGAGCTCATAATGACTCTAAAACGGGCAGTATTATGTACCCAAAGAGAACAGTATGACAAAGCCGAACAAATGTTGCATCTGGCGTTACGACTAGCTCAACAACAGCAGAACGAACAAGGTATTATTTATTGCTACGATTTAATGGCAAATTTAGCATTTGATCAGTATCAGTTAGATAAAGCAGAAAAATTATTTGTAAGTGTTATGCAGATGCTTCTCGGTCATGGCATGCCTCAAGATGACCTTAAGGTTTGTAGCTTTTAAGGCGTTGGTATCTTAATACAGTTCATTTGATTGCAGGTGATCCATATCAGTTTAAAATTGGCTAGAATATGTCAGCTAAAAGCAAACCTCGAGAACGCCGAGATAGGCTACAAATGGTGTTTGGATAAAATTGAAAAACAGAAGAATGACAATGTAGACGCACAGATTTTATACGGAGTTATCAACGATTGGTACGCACAGTTCCTGTTAGACAAAGGCGATATTAGTAACTCCTTTAAGTACTTACACGAAGCTTATAAGGTTTGTTCGAAGGTGAGAGGTAAAGATAGTGAGAAAAGTGTTTTGTTACTTAACGATTTGGGTATCACAAGCTTCCGAGCTGAAGATATGGAAAACGCTGAAAAGTATTTAAAGGAGGCTGTCAACGCAGGGAATAAATTAGAAGACAAGTCACATTTAGGAGTTGTCCACGCAAATCTTGGATTGATTCTCTTGCAGAAGGGGATTGTGGCGGAAGCGCAGAAGTTTTGTAAAGAAGCGTGGCAATTAGGTGAATATTCTTTCATTGAAGTATTGTCTTCTTTGTATACAGGGTGTCCCAGAATATGCGGGAAATCTCTCGGATTTATACAGGGGACATTAAAATAACATGACAAGTTCCTATAAAAATTTTCTTTAGAGGAGAAACGGCCCTGAAAATCGAACTTTTAAATTACTTTGTGTAGTTTAATTATCTTTTTGATTTGATGGACAACTGAGGATCCAACAGTCTTCAATTCGCAGAGCCAGAAAATGCATAACATTAACTTAATTATTTTGGATTTGAGGTTAGGTTTTCAGGTTTCCTGGTCAGTTTTCTATGGATTTGAGTTAAAGTTATGCAAAAATATTGGTTGCACACTCGAAAGTACCATTTTTATGGATTTATACTCGCAGATTTAGAAAAAATAGAATATGTTCATTTGAGGTTATGTTTTGGGTCTGGATTTAGCGTTGCCAGAAGTCCCGATTTTGGCGGGACGTCCCGCTTTTTAAGCCTAAATTAAATGTTCCGCGCGGGACACGCTCAGTCCCGCTTTTCCCGCTCTTGTTTTGTTTTTTCTTTAGGCGTCAATTATTTTCTCCAGGTCTGTTATTAAATAGATTATTTCCTGATTACGTCCCCCTTTTTGTTTAGACATTGATTTTTTTTTGACCGAATATGTCAAACTTCGTATGATCGAGTTTGAGGCTAGAGATTACTCGGCCATTTTGAAATAATTTTAGGCATGTGTTCCAATTACTTCGCCGGAACTTTATAGTACAGATAATTTCGGAAAAAAATCAGTACTATTTGATTAGTTTTGATGCGTGGCTCGAATTTTTTCCAATATTTCCCACTCTGCAACACAAAATTATGTAAAAAAATCATATTAAACAAGAATAATTTTTTTTCAAAAACTTCATTTTATCGATATCAACCTGCCTTTTTTAGTTTAAGGTTTAGGCTATCTAAAAATATTATTTTTGTGCCTTTATCGTAAAAGGTTTAAAAAAAATTGACATTATTGTGCTACACCTAGTCCGTCCCTGGCAAACCAAATAAGCCTAATTGTTTTTATGGGTTCATTTTTAAGGAGTCTTACCTGTTGTCCGTTGTTTCAAAAAATAATTAAATTATACGAAGTATTTTAAAAGTTATTAAAAATAGAATCAATTTTCAGGGGCGTTCTTTAGCAGCCTGTATCTCCATAGAGGGGCCCTAAAAGGAAAATTTTTATGGGAACTTGTCATGTTATTTTAATGTTTACTGTATAAATCTGAGAGATTGCCCACATATTCTGGGACATCTGGTGTAATAAACTTTGTATACTTATAAATTAACACACCACTAAAAATTGGCCGAAATTTCGATGTTGATTTTCTCACGAACAGCCAATTTGATTTTGATGATCTCTTTCTTGAATTATAGTAGGCACACTTAAATATTACAGCAAATTTCATGTATTTCCTTTTGAAAAATACTTAGTAAAAGTGATTTCCCCAGCAATGTCATGAACAATTTTTTTTTAATCAAAAACTGCAAAAAATTTAAATTTTTTTGTTTTTTTTATATCTCGAAAAATAATGATGGAATCGAATTGTGTTACTCTCAATCGGACGTTTGTACAGAATAAAAAAACCTATAAAATGGTTTTTTGTACGATCCGATCGGTTCATTTTTTATAGAGAAAATCCGGAAAAACCTCTAAAATAGACCTTTTTTCCAAAAATTCATAACTCCGTCAAATTTGAAGCTGGAAAAATAATCTTTCGGAAAATGACAGTTAATAATATGTAGTATAATCGTGCGCAAGATGGTTTCTGTCCGATGCATAATTTTTGCACAATTGCATTATAAAGAAATTAGGGTCTTTTTTTTGCACAGCGTGGCGATTTATCAAAAATGGTCTGATTTAAATTCTGAAAATGGCTTCCGAAAGTAGACGATAAAGTCTCCAATTCCAATATCTCGGATTATCCCCTGGATGATGGGGAATATTCTGAAAATGCTTTTGAATGTCACCCGAAACTATCCAAAGTACGCTCGAGCCAGAGTCTTCCGCTTGCTGCTTCCCCCACTGCCGTTCATCGAATCGGCTTTCAAGGTCATTTTTAGCATATTTCCCATCACCCAGGCAAAAATCCGAGGATATACAAATTGGAGATTTTGTCGTCTGCTTTCAGATGCCGTTTTCAGAATTTAAATCGGACCTTAATTTGTTTATAATGCAATTATGCAAAAACTATGAATCGGACATAAGCCATCTTGCGCACAATTAAACTACATATTATTATCTGTCATTTTCCAAAAGATTGTTTTTTCTATTTGACGGAGTTATGAATTTTTGAAAAAGGTCTATTTTAGATTTTCCGGATTTTCTCTGTAAAATGAACCGATCAGGTTGCACAAAAAACCATTATTTAGGCTTTTTTATTCTCTACGAAAGTCCTATTGCGAGTAAGACGATTCCATCATTATTTTTCAAAATATTATAAAAAAAACAAAAAAATGTCATTTTTTTGCAGCTTATATTGTTTAAAAAAAAAATTGTTTACAACTTTGCTGGGGAAATCACTTGGGTTTACATTTATTAAGTATTTTTCAAAAGTAAATACATGAAACTTACTGTAATATTTAAGTGTAAAAACAGCCTCTTTTTTCGCTCTATTGGTTGATGCCAAGGTAGAAATTTCTATTGAAAGGTGAATCTTAAATATATTTTAAACAGTGGTATAGTCTACTGTGTAGAACATGTAATTGTTTCTTTTTGCAAAAAATTAGAAAAAGTTAATTATAAAATAAATATGCATGATTATTTAATACTAGCGGCCCATCCCGGCTTCGCACGGGTAGACATTTATTTTAAAGATTTTGGGATATAAAAAATATAGCCTATGTTACTCAGGGATAATGTAGCATTCTAATGGTGAAAGAATTATCGAAATCCGTCCAGTATTTTTTGAGTTTATTCGTAACAAACATACATACATACAAAAATACAAATCTTTCCTCATTATAATATTAGTATAGATATATTCTCCTAAAGTACCATATTTCATTTGAATATATCATATTTCACTAAAAATTTTGATTAAATACACTTAAATGTACTTAAAAAAATCACCGTTCAGAAAAGTTGAAAAGTAACAAATTGATAGAAGTACTTTAATGTTGTGTTACCTGCTTGTCCGAGAAACAATGACATTTTACTAGTGTAAATATTCACACAAAATATTGCATGAAAATTGTATTAATACTAAATATCAATATTAAATATAAAAGTTAAAAAAAAATTCGGAAAATTGAAAACATCCTACAAAGTTTAGAGTTCAAACAAGGTTTCAGTATCATATAATATGACTATGACGAAAACGTATTAATTACTTCGTGCTTTTCTAGAAATTTTGAAATTTAACATGACTTGGACTGAACAAATTATTACGAAGTTTTAAAAATACCAAAAAATAGTAACTTCAAAACTGCAATCCATATGTCTGTTACAAATTTTTTAGGATGCAATTTTTGGGAAATGTTCTATTTTTTTATTTGTAATACTTTTTGCAATTATAACACTACCCAAAAGGAAAATGAATTTTTTGGGTCTACAAATGCCAAAACGATAATTTAAAAAATGCTGTAGTTAAAATACACATTTAAGACTCACCCTGTATATACGGTGCAAAAGAGAATATCATATGTTATAACTCCGAAATTTGAACACTCCTTAGGGTGTGACTGCTAACAATCCTCCAGTATATTACAAAAGCTCATACATAACAGTATTAATGAAAGAAAATTGATGAGAAAGAACTAAATCAATAACAAAAAACAAGTCTAAATCATAGATTATATGTTGGCGTTATTGAGAAAATCATCTTGGAATTCGAAGCCCACTTTTAGTGGTCTGCTAATTTTGACGCGAAGCATATCTTTTCTTTTAGGGAGGAAATATGAAAACAACGAATCCATCGAACAGGCAAACTACTGCCTCGATCAAATAAAACTCAATCTAGGAAAATAATTTTTATTAGCATCATATTTCCTAGTCAAAGTGTTACAAGTGGCATTGTTTGGAAAAATATAACTACCTAAATGGCTACACGGAATTATTTATTTTTAGTCAATACATCAAGATTATACATTTAAGATGTTTTGGAAGAAATTATATGTCGAGGAACACTGACAATTTTCAGATCTACATACTGAAGTATTTTTCTTATATTTTCCTTCACATTTGTTGTTGCCTTTTTTTTTATCTTAGTTGTTTTCATCCACAGTGACAGTAAATACACTGTATAGTCTGTATATTTGTTATTACAGAAAAAATAAACACTTTTTAAATACATGTTCTTCATTTCAACACTTGATGCATTTAATAAGTTATAGTAAGTACTAACAAAATTTAAAAAACCGAACTTAACTGTGGTCGGCACACCTGCGTCTACAACACAGAATCACTTACTATCGGTATTGCAAACTACAACCGATGGATACAAAAGAACTATGGAGGTAGTTAAATAAATAAAATTAAAGGTCTTTTACGAACATAGATTTTGCATAATATGGTGACATGTATCTTTCACTTGCTTATTCGGCAAGACATTTTTGGCTAAGCAAAAATAGTTTAATTTAATAGATTCATTTTTAAAGATTTTTCTGACAAGTGTCAAAATACACAAATAAAAAGAAAAAAAGGTTTTCACTTACCGAAAAGTCTTTATTTGTGAAATTTTTTAAGTACCTTTTTTTACGTTAGCAACACATACAGAGCGCTAATTAAATAAGTGCAGTTTGAGGAACGATTCATTGAGTGATTCTAAGCCAAAAATGTTGTATAAATGTAGGGTCTATAAATCGATAGTTTTAGAGACATAGGGTGTTCAAATTAAAAAAAATACTATTTCTAATATACGAGGTGATTCACAACTTATCCAAAAGAATTTGGGAATAGATGTGTAGTGAAAAATGGAGTCGATATCATAAAAAAAATTATAGTATTTTCAAGCCTTACATCGCTGGGCCACTGTAATCTCTAGCGTCATTCGCATTGCACGCTGTGCGCAATGCGCTGTCTCTCCATGTGACTAAGCAATTCCGAATACCGAAATCCGAATTTAGTATTATCGTTTTTGCGATAGTGTTTACATTAGTTTTTCAAGCATCAAAAATAGCTTACGTGTATAGTAACTCGAGTTGATGGACATCGTTTTAATTTATGGTGAAGCAAGACGTGTTATGGTGAAGCATTTGTATTAGTTCATAGAAATAGGGTAAGATGGGCCCAAATGTGATTACACGTCGGTGAACAAAATTTTAAACAGTTGTAACATCAGGTATGTCAAATTATTTTATTAATAATTGAAACGACAAATTAATTTTATTAATTAATAACAACAATAGCGACAAAAGCAGTTGAATTTGCTGATATAAAATAGGTGTTATAAAATTTTATTTAATTCTTTCATTTTGCTCCCGTATACTTTTGTATAGCGCAGTCAGCGAAAAAATTAGAGGGAACATCGCTCATTTGCAATATTTCAATAAAGATTCCAAATAACAATTTCCGATTCTTATTCAGTTTTTTTGTTTTTTTATCTGACACGTTATGATTTAGTAAAATCTCATTGTTAATCAAATATTTGTGAAATATCGTTGCAACAGGCATAAATTTTTTTATTACCTAGAAAATAATTAAATAGATTTTACAATTTCACAAAAATGTTGTAAAAGGTATGTAAATATAATTTTACTAGTTAATATTGGTTCCTTTGACCGTGAAACATTAAAAATACCTAATCTTTATATGGGTGCGATTAAAAATTCTCCAAACTTAATTTAGTATTCAAATAGTCATGGCTTTGGCTTTGTATTTAGAGATATCTTACAATTTTAAACGACTTTTCGCAACAATGTTTCTACAAATTTAAAAAATAAGACTACTTTACTCTTATTTTTCTATTTTTTGGCCTACCTTGTATGCTGTTTGACTTGGAACCATTCTAAGTAGACTTAGGATGGTTTCAAACATGCACCAACTTTTGATGACGTTCAAAATTTGATTTGCAAATAATAAAAAATATTCCCGTATGTTGCACACTTAAAGGCACATTGAAAACCTTAAAATTTCGACGCCACTGTATATTCTGAAAATTCAATCACTACTCCTTGTATAGTCTTTCCGATCTCAATTGAAGGTCAAAGAGCTAGGCGTTATCGTTGAGTGGGGAACTCATTCACTCAATGGCATGTATGTACCAGGTTCGGCATTGAAATATTTGAAAAACTTGTTCCCATATTTATTTAGCCATACCCATATACGGCAAATGGCAGACAAACACATCCGCACTGGGCGGCTGGGCCATAAATCTCAGTTATTGACAAATTGCCTAACAGTGCAGCGCAGGTAAGCAAAAAACAAAAATTTAAAAATATTGATGACATGACAAAAGACGTAATTCAGCGGACAATTTATAATTATACAAAGAAAAATATGTTGTTAAACCCAAATGAACAGCACAAAACTTTTAGGAACGTCTATGAAACTCATTAAATTTTATTGCTAGACATTTTTATACATATTCAACTGACTTCGGAAAGACTATAACTTCTCGTGGTGTTTCCAAGAAAAAAGGTATTTTTCATTTTATTCAAAAATTTAGTACTTATTTAATCTTCATTCAAACACTTCACAAAATGCAAAGTAACTAGAACTACTCAGTCGATTTTTACTTTTAATTAAATAAATCATTAGCGCAAGTTTCTTCATTTTGCATAAAACGTTTTAAGATATATTTTATAAAGTATACATTTTTCAATTTTAAAGCATTTCCAAACTAGACAACAAATCTTATAAGCAAAACCCTCCAAATAATCAAGATCTATTCCCAGATCCCCGTTTCATACCATTTAAGTGAGTTTGTGTTTCCAACAAAGATATGCCAACGTAAATTAATTCTATTATAAATATATGAAAAAATACATTACATTAAAAAACTTATTCATATTCAGCTATAATTACCATCATTCCTACACCAGCTAACATAGCAGCGACTTGAAGGAATGTCTGGACGATGCTGGGCTTTTCCTCATCTAGCAATTCAGGAATGACGGACACGAGGGCTATGTAGATGAACCCTCCAGCAGTGAATGGCAAGATCCAAGAAGCGGCCATTGCTCCCGAACTGTTTTGGGCTAACAGAGATAGAGCGGTACCTAAAAACGAGTCAAATAAATAGAAATTTGAAAGTGAAATAATAAAAAATACAGAACGCTACCTGCGACCGCTCCTAACGCCGTGGTGAGTTGGAGGAGCATAGCGTTTTTACGCGAAACCCCCGACTGTAACAGAATGGCAAAATCGCCGATTTCATGAGGAACTTCGTGCAACAAAATAGTTATTGTGGTCACAATACCTAGAAAATTCGATAGTAGTTCCAGAAAAAGCTACAAAAAACTTGAAATTTTACCTATAGTATTTCCGGCCAAGTAAGAAGACCCAATTGCTAGTCCATCGGTAAAATTGTGACTAAAATCTGCAGCCAAATTCAAATACCCTGCCACTTTAATCTCTTTCTCGGGCGTCTCATTCTTCTCATCCTTAGTTTTATCATCACCATCGCCTTGATCCTTCTCCTTCTTAACCAGATCTTTTTCTTCAGCTGCCTTGACAGGAGAATGGGAATGTGCGTGGTTTCCTTTAATAATTCTCACCGCCTTCTCGACAACAAGAAACACTACAATTCCAGCCAATACCCACAAACCCACAGACATGTCATGTGCATGTCCGTGTTCACCTTCCTCGTCACTATGCGTATGCACATGACTGTGACTGTGGGAATGAGGCTCTGAACCTTCATCCAATGCCATAGTTGCGTGGGGTATCAAATGCAGAAAGGCGTCTCCTAGTAGACCCCCTGAAGCAAACGCTAATAAAATCTTAAGTAATGGCTGTTCATTGTCTGTGTTATCTAAAGGAACGAAAAATAAAATAAAGAACGGAGCTGCACTTATCAACAAAGTTGATCCCATGGCATGCAACCATAGTTCTTGAGACGATAAAGGAGTTTTTAATGGTGTTTTCTCCGTTTCTTCGCCATGCTGATGTACGTCCTGCTTTTCCTTTTGTAATTTTTCATTGGCTGCTTTGGAATACTTGAAAGACGGAGATTCGTCGTGAGCATGGCCATGATGCTCATGGCTATGATCGTGAGATGTACACGTCTGTACAAAAATCACCAGCAGAAAACATAAAACAATTGTTTTACTATCACACATTTCCACTGAGGATATTACTTGATAATTTAAATAGGATTCTATTTTTATTCTCTCTAGAAGTACCAATAATTTTTTTAAACTAACACTTTTATTGTATACGTGACATATTTGAAAACATTTTTTTCTTTTGAGGTTAGGAAGAATTGATAAAGATTTTAATATTTTTTTGGTTAGAGTCGATAATCTAGAAATCATGTTTTTTCAAGTCAGAAGGGCAAACTAAGGGATAGGTGGCGCGATAATTATACTTCATATAATAGGTAATAGGTGGCCCCATATAAAAATAAATAAGAGGAGGGCCCTCTATTGTTCTCCTGTAGTGAAACTATGTTTTTTAGCCCAATAAGCTGTTAATAGATGGCTCTAATTTGGCAATTCAGCCGGTAAAATTAGTAATAATCTCATTTGTAGCTGTTTTACATTGACAATTTATTCATCAATAAATTGACGAAGTTCTTCATCAATTAATTCACGAATTTATTGGTAAACAGTGTGGTTTTACACTGCTACAGACTGTGTCAAGTTTTTTGACGCATGAATCAGTTCTACCAATGAATCAAAGGCATTTCCTTACATTTAGTATGTTAAATTGAATAATCTCTCATTAAAGAATAAAAATAAAAAATATATTACGAATTGAATAAATATATCTCATCTAAAATAATTCAAGAGGCCGTCAGATGGTGATGTATGTTGTCTAGTTGCTAATATACGACAATCTTTTTTGTTTTCTCTATGGATGCCACTGTTTTTAAACAACCGGGAAACTTGAAAATATTCTTGTCATGTTTTATTCGAAGGCAAATAGAACTGAGTACTGTGTGTTTTCAAAATCCACTAAACCCATTTCAATGTTTTATTGCAGCACGCGAAAATTTACTGTAAATTAAACAAAATTCTGAACTTAATTGGCAATGATATAACAAATTAGAGGCCTTTTTTCGAGTAATCTTGTATCAATAGTTTTTTTGGATAAATTAAAAAAATACTAGGGCTCAGCCATTATTTACTTGACAGTTTTTGTTCTGAAATTTTTTTTTAGTTTGGAGATTAGCACTTGTGAATGTCTAATATGCATGACGACCAAATTGAGTAACTACTTATCTTTTTTTCTTTAGAAATTTTATAAGAACAAAAATTAGATTTCCTACAAGTTATTTTTCTCAGGAAATTCCTCCTTCTCATCATATTTATTTAAGTGGATGTAGTAAGTTTTAGAAATGGGTAATGCAAGTTATAAAAAATTAAATATATATTTTCACCACTGTATTTCTGTAATAAAATTTTAATTTAAAAAGCCGCAAGGAAAACACGATTAATGACATATTTTATTTCTTAGAAAAACTCATAATTAACGTTAGATATTTTAATTAGTAAGTAATAAAAATTGGACACCATCCCTCACTTCTTCGCTTTCTTCTTCTCGGCTTCCTCTTCCTTCTCCTTTTCGATTTCCGTTACGTATTTTTCAATTGTGTCAGCATCCAACATAACTAGAGGCTCTCCGTGTCTCATAACTGCAATTTCGAGGTTTTTTTGGCCTGACTGAACAACTTCCAACAGCGCTCGAATCGCTAGCTTGACGGTACCTCTTTCCGATGATACTTCTTCACTGGTGTAATATTTCTCTAAGAATTCTCTAACAGTTTTGGCGGATCGGCCAGTAGCATTGGCTTTCCACTCATAGTAAATACCAGAAGGTTCCGTTTGGTACAAATGTGGCTTTCCGTCATAGTCAAAACCTCCAATGAGACAAGAAATACCAAAAGGACGTCTACCGTTGCTCTGCGTATATTTTTGTTTTAACGAAGCAATGTAACGTGTGATATATTCCAGCGTTACTGGATCTTCTACAGTCAATTTATGCGACTGACACTCGATCTGTGCTCTGTTTATTAAAATTCTAGCATCGGCAGTGAGACCAGCAAAAGCCATAACTACATGGTCATCGAGTAAACATATTTTCCTAACAGTACGTTCTTCTTGGAGTTTAGCTACGGACTTCTTTTCTACCCCCAGCACGACTGCGTTAGCACCTCTAACACCTACCTGAAATACGGAAACAGCATTATATTTCATATAAAAGACTATAACATTATTATGTGTAATTACTCCATTCTTCAGTTGTAAAATTCCGTTAAAATTATAAATTATAACAGGAAGCACCAGTCAGTGGTTTTGGGCTATACAAAATTATGAATCCGATTTTATGTAAATGTGTTTCCATTATATTTTTGTTATATTAAAGTTTAATTCAAGCCATGATAGAAAACACTTTTAAAATAGCGATTCAGTCAAGTTGTTAATTTAAAACATTGCACTGTCATTCTTGGAAGGGTTAGAAATACAACTTACCGCCGTGGACCCTTTGCGAACGGCTTCTTGTGCATATTCTACTTGTAATAAGTGGCCATCTGGAGAGAAAACTGTGATAGCTCTGTCATATCTTGCAGACATTTTAGGACTTTAATAAACTTCAGCAGTAGACAAGAATGGTAACACAACCTTAAAAACTATTTTGCTTTGTAACTTTTGTTTGACATTTGACGACGCTGCAACTTGTAGGGCCGCCAACATGACCAATATTGCCAACAATTAAAAAATATATTTTTTTTACATACAGAAAACATTTAAGTGCTTCTTCTTGCGACATCTAGATATTAAGAGATTAATGGTTATTAAGAATTTATTGTTTACAAATAAAGAGTCTTTTTTCATCTAACGGAGAATAGCTTAAGTTCAACTAATTACGACTCAAGTATACTGTTTCATGTGGCAATAAGTATGTATAAATTTGGCGACAGATGGCACTAGCTTAATATTAAAGCTTCTGATGTGCACGATTATAAAAATTAGGATTATTGCCAATACCACAAAATATTGATTACGGTTGGGTAATAGGTATGTTTTTGAAAATCTATGAGCGGTGAATTATCAAATAACAACCACATTATGATAATAGTTATGGTTTAGTAGAAAACATAGTACACTTTATACTGAATTTTGTAAATATGTTGTGCTAACTAAATAATAATTTAATTAATAAGAAAAGAAAATATAGGTTTAATGAGATGAAATATCATGTGAACCGACCATGTTCATTACAAATTATAAATTCTCAAAAGCAGTTAGGTACTTTCTGTTATTTACTCATGCCTCTCTATTTGATTTAACTGAATCACACCCGTGGTTACTTAGGCCAATTTCCGGCACTTGTGGGAACGGTTGACGTCGCCCACAAAAAAATCCTAATGGACAATAACAAAAAGTAAATATTCCCCAACTAGATATTTACATCGGACTTACCGGGATCAGATTTTAATCAAACATTCTGTCCCCTAAATTTTAGATTGGATGTTGGGAATAGAATTGCGTTCCAGTTGATTTTACCAAAACCGATATTCTATTAAAATCTCCCCTTGGAATGGTCGGCTCGATATGGACATAAATTATATTTAATATTGATATTCAATTCAGTTACAGCTCTGCCCCCATATGTTGACAATTTATTTATTATCTACATAGGCGTGCTTCAGAAGACACACGGATAGACTCGAATGCACTGGTAACTATAAAGTTGGGACTTTTGTTGATGAAGTTTTCATTTGAAATCTCAGTAAGACAATTTGGTTAATACGTTTTAATGGCACCTAATTTAGGTGTGCAAAATAAGAATTTATTAAAAACTTGTATTTTAAAAAGGTTACTCTGGTGAAGATACATGACATGTTCTAAACGGTGTCAAAAATGATAAAATTATAGTGATCTGTACAATATTCTATTAGTTCATTCTAAAAATGTTGTAAGTCGTTATAATCACTTTAAGGGCTCCCCGCCAGCCCAAATAAATATTTATTTACTCATATAATCCTATCGCCAGCCTATAAATAGTTTATAACATATGAGTAACTAAATAAGAGTGTTTTATTCTTTGTCTTGTGTCGGCAGCAGCGGCTGAGTACGCCATCTGTAGCTGGTGCAGCAAACGAGACACTCGGAAATCACAAACCATAAAATAATTAAGGAAATTGCATGAGAAAACACAATTAGAGTAACCTTTAATAGATGTCGCTGCACCATAATGGCGGTAAATTTAAATGTATCAAAATTCCATAAGAATAAAAAGTATTTCATAAAGTAATGGATCACGAAACAGCTACTAATAGTTTAAGTTAATAATTGAAATTTACGTGAAATATTAACAGCTGTTCCATGACCCGTTAATAATGAAACATTTTAATTATCACTTGGTTAAATGAAAAAGTAAAGGCAGTGATATAAAAATTATTTTTTTTTTAAAGAAACCATTAAAAACTACAAATTTTAAAGAAATTGAAAGAATTATTTACCTGCCTTTATTGTTAAATGCATTGCACATTTACTTGACAAAAATTATGGTTAGATACATTTGTTTCGAACTAATTGGTTCTCATCAGTACGATGTAACATACTACAGTTATAGCATTTATAACAATTAACAATTTTGCATTTTGGTTTTTTAAAAGGTGAGGGTGAAAAATCTTCTTAAATTGAAGTTTGACAGCTCGTACTCAGAAAATTCTCTAATGTTACGTTAACAAATTGTTTTGCTGAATGTTGGATCCTATCCGAGGATTCCGAGGTGATATTATTACAATTAATAGGCGAACTTGTAATCCACTGTAATAATTGTCTGTCTTTTGTAGTCCTGAAAAAACTTTTATTTCTATAGAACGTATTACAGATATTCATATACCTTTTGCAGTTTGGAGCATAACATTGACGTTTAGTTCTACCAAGTAAACTAATTTTGGATAAAAAAAACCAGTAAGGCAGTTCAGACGATTGATTCAATAAATCCCTTATTACATTAATGTAAAACAAAACAAATTTATTAATGCACAAAACGTGACAACCTACCTGAACATAAGCTATAACCTCAAATATTCTATTTCTCTATTTTCTATTGATTGAAAGATTGGAAATACAAATAAGGCTTTTTTTTCGCGAGTGTAGTAGTATGTTGTGGTATGTGTAGTGTGAGTGAATGAAGAGATTTAAACTACCATATGACAACTAAGATCAAAAGAGATAGAAATAGTAACTAAGTCAGATATTAACCAATATTCAGTCGCAAAATAAAGCCTACTTATTCGATCTGTCGTTGCAGAATTCTGTTTAACAATTTCTATAAAGGACAATGTTTTGCTGCACCAATGCAAGATGGCCCCAGTGCCTGAATGCATGCTCCGTCCGCCCTATCCAATATCCTCTTATTTATTTACTCATATAGTTTATAATAGTTCTCTTGTACGATTACACAGGTCAACATTTGATCTAAGCGGGAACACCGTAATCGGTATAGGCTACTAGCGGTTTTTGGGGTCGCTGATTACGATGAGAGGGTCAGTTAACCTCTATCACGTCAGGTTCAAGGTCATTTGAAGGTCAAATGCAGAAAAAGCCATAAAAATAAAAAATCTGAAAAAAATCATGGCTATGTTTTTGAGGTCGGACAATCCGAATCTGAGGTCAGCTAAGCTCCACAAGGTCAAGGTCATTTGAAGGTCAAATGCAGAAAAAGCCATAAAAAATCTGAAAAAATTCATGGATATATTTTTGAGGTCGGCCAATCCGAATCTGAGGTCAGCTAAGCTCCACAAGGTCAAGGTCATTTGAAGGTCAAATTCAGAAAAAGCCATGAAAATATCTGAAAAAAAATCATGGATATGTTTTTGAGGCCGGACAACCGAATCTGAGGTCAGCTAAGCTCCACAAGGTCAAGGTCAAGGTCATTTGAAGGTCAAATGCAGAAAAGGCCATGAAAAAATCTTAAAAAAATCATGGATATGTTTTTGATGTCGGAGAATCCAAATCTGAGGTCAGCTAAGCTCCACAAGGTCAAGGTCAAGGTATTAGAAGGTCAAGTTCAAAAGAAAATTTTTAACCGATAACATTTTTTACTTGTTATTCTTCATGTTTTTTATATAAACCCTTACTTCTTACTTGTATCTATATATTTGCATATATAAGCAATTGTTCTACAAGATTTATACTCATTTCACGCACTTTCGCTCGAAATGTGGAACTCACTCACTCATATATCACAGATAAGTAACAAAACTACCTAAAGTACTTTCGCTTGAATCATCGCGCTTATTCAGTTACATATCACTGATCCGACAATAATACCGTAAAATCAGTATATCGAAGAACATTTTCTGCGGGTTATATGTGGATACCGTTCTATCTCCTATGAGGTTACATGCTTACTAGCAGAAGAGGCATCTATATAGCTACTAGTAAAAGAAATAACAAACAATTTCCGTCGAAAGCAACCATACTATCAAAATGGAGATATCCTAGGAAAAAAAGAAAAGACCCAGACCATGAATCTATGGGAAATAGCATGAAGGGAATCACCTAATGGAAGAGGGATGCACCGATTGATTAAAGTTATCGGTAGCTGGATTCATCTTAATCCAGCATCATTTTTTCAGATTTTTTCAAAAATTACTTCATCCCTTAACCTTGACCTTTTGGAACTTCAAAGACCTCAGATTCAGATTTCCTGACCCCAAAAACATAAGTATGATTTTTTTCACATTTTATCATGTCTTTTTCTGCATTTCACCTCTAAATAACCTTGACCTTGACCTTAGCTGACCTCAGATTCGGATTCCTCGACCTCAAAAACGTATCCATGATTTTTTTTCAGACTTTTCCATGGCTTTTTCTGCATTTGACCTTCAAATGACCTTGACCTTGACCTTGTGGAGCTTAGCTGACCTCAGATTCGGATTGTCCGACCTCAAAAACATATCCATGATTTTTTTCAGATTTTTTCATGGCTTTTTCTGCATTTGACCTTCAAATGACCTTGAACCTGACGTGATGGAGGTTAACTGACCCTCTCATCGTAATCAGCGACCCCAAAAACCCCTTGTAGCCTATACCGATTACGGTGTTCCCGCTTAGATCAAATGTTGACCTGTGTTATTGATTGGATTGGATATAGATAATTTTTTACTGACAAACTTATGGAACTGTGCAGAGCGTGTGACTTTATGAGTTTAACACAATGTTATTTAATTATTCTTGTGTGTTTCTTTGGTTGGCCCAAAAGAATGCATGTAAAACAAACGAATATGTTTCATTTCCCGACGAGGAAGTCACATTCGATTCTCAGTACAGGCCGAATTTATCAAAATTTCGAATGCGGCGGACTAAACCTACCTGCTTCCGCTTACCGATGCTTTTTTTAATTGAACACGTTTTAATAACTTCGCCTGACTCTTAATTGAATCGATAATTCATCAATGAATTAATAATCACTCCATTCGGAGCGACAAAAATGAATGTAATTTGTGCCGTTATTGCATTCATTGAACATCTGAATTATTCATGGGAAATGGAGTGGTATATAGTAATTTATCGGTAATTATAATCAGCGTACTATACGGAGAACGGCCGGTCCCTGCACCTGCTACTAAAAATTAGCATCGCAACTTCGAATATATTTTTTTAACATTTCACTGATGATCACATAATATTAAGATTTATTTTAAATAACCTTTATTAGTAGCAAAAAAGAAGTGGTACTTTTTCCGTTATAGGTTAGTGCAGATAGTGTTACAAGTTACAAGTCAAATTAACAAAAAAAAAATATTTTTTTTTCTACAAATCCTAGAAAATTGACTGGATTATACAGAGGATTAATTACGTGCACAAACTTTAAGGGGTGATTCTTTGAGTGAGTTGAAACTAAAAATTAGAGGGAAAAATCTACCATTCGGATATAAATATGTGTAGGTACCAGTGGCGGAGGTATCGGGAACTTTTTGCACTAAAAACGCCAGAAATTCGTCGCCACACAAGATTTTGAAAGTTCCATTTTTTGAAATTAGAAAAACATTTATAATTTTCTCATACATTTCACAAGACATAAAGAACTACTCCTTTCTCTAAAAAAATTGTAGGACTTTTCTACTACTTCTTACTACCTATAGTGTTTTGTTTTAGGGAAAAAATACATCTTTTAATTTATTCAAATCAAATTTATTCATTTCTGATTTATAACTTTTTAAGTATTTCATTAAACGTAACATAACTTTTTTATATAGGATTTTGAATACGTAGTCATGAAATGTACGAGAAAATAATCAGCATCATTTTGGTTGGGACACCCCTTGCTACCTCTAGCAAACTGATCAAATGATGATAATAGTTAATAATAGTAAATGTTTTATTGTAACGCGTGGTGGTAATAGTTTAAATAACTAGATGGATTTCACAGGGTCTAACGACACTTACAGTGTACGATAATTCAATAAATAAAGAAATCTAAATAAAAAAATTTAGATAAATTTGGAAGGAATACACTGAAGATGAATTTTTCGAGACAAAACGTCTGAATCTGGTTCGGGCTGAGGCAGTACAGTATTGGGGGTTATGAAGGCTTGCAAAAAATGTAATAAAA